TTCCTTTTGTTTGTTTATTTGTTTTCCCTTAAAAAAAAAAAAAACAATCTAACGTTTATTTTTATTTTTGTAAACGTTTGTTTTATTAAAGTTAACGCCACGAGATAATTTTTAATATTATGTATATATATATACTATTAAATCGTCGAGTAATCCATTACGAATGATTAACAACAAACTTAAGATAATTGTTTTTTTTTTGTTGTTGTTTGTACATTCATATTTTAAAATTTTATTTATGTTTTTTTTTTCTCATTTTGTACAACAACCAACAGCACGTTTTTTTCCCTTTTTTTCCTTTTTCTTTCTTTTTTCGTAAATGTAAAACGTTTTTACGTTTTTTTTTTAAAAAGGAAAAAATTTGTCTATAAATATCGAATCGCTTTGTTTCGTTTTCTTTTTTTTTATGACAAAACATGAGGAAAATCGTAAAAATTTTCCGACTTTTACTATATTTAAGTACTTTTGTTTAAAAAACTTTTTTTTTTTTTTTAAATTTGTTAAAAGAAAGAATTTAATGTTAAACCTTTTTAACTTTTTTCTTCTTTCTTTTCCTCTTCCTCTTTTTCTTTTTTTATTTTTCAATCGATTCCAACTCAACAAAACAATAAAATTTATTGACCGTCAATGAAATAAAAAAAAAAAAAAAACGCATACGTACGTAACTGCAACGAGTTTATTTTTATTTTTTACGAATATGATTAGATTTAAATGATCAATGCTATTTAAATAATAATAAAAATAATAATAATAATAATAATATTAACGATTTTAAACGAATAATATTAATAAACGTTATTTTTAAAAAAGGATTAAAATAAAACGTTTTTTGATCGAATAACTAAATTTCATTATGTTTAACTTATGAAAAAGTGTAAACAATTTTTCATCTCGTAAAATAATTTTCGCTAATCGTCGATAATTATCATTATCATTATCATTATCATTATTATTATTATTATTATTACGTTGTGAGTAAATTTATAATTAATAATTTTAAATAAATATGGTTCGTCACGAAAAATTGTTTTTTTTTTTTTAAAGGCGTCGTCGTTAATAAAAAAATAAATTTTAATTTTTTTGTCGTGTCGTGGAAAATTTTTTTCCCTTTTTCTCATCTACTTCGATTAGAAAATTACAACAAAAACTGATAAAAAATATGAAAACCTGAAAGAATATCTGAAATGAATACGGAATGAATGAATGGACTAGTCAAGGAATGATACAACAAGCACGGTTACGACAGCGGCTGTACGATCAACAAATTCAAACTGACAGAAATGTGGCAGCTAACAAATCGAATATCATGCTGAGAAGCATAATTCTGAAACGTTGTGTAAATTAATTGAAGTATTCGGTGTGGGTAGACGTGAAACCGGAAACGATACCGATGTTCGTGGGAAAATCATGAGCCAGCTGCCACATTCAACAAAAGAAAATTCTCAAGAATTTAAAATCGTAAAAAGGAAGTCGCTCACATTCTTCGATAGCATCACAAATATTTCTAAGAAATCGAAAAACCTGAAATAAACGTTGAAAAACTTCGTACGAAAAATTCCGTACTCGAATATAAAACATAATAATAATAATAATAATAATAATATAAATCGAATTTTACGTCTGCGTATCTTTAATAAACTTTATTAAATTCAAAAAGGAAAAAATATATATTTTCGTGATTAAATTCAATTTTTTTTTTTTTTTGAATCAAAATTTAATGAATTAAACAAAAAAAAAAAAAAAATGGCCGACGAACGTAATTAACGCGATTGTTTTCTCTAATATTTTTTTTTTAACGTAAATTATTAATTATTTTTGTTTATTTATTGATAAACATTTAAAAATTTATCGGGAACCATTTTCTTTTTTATCGGAGTAATAATTTAAATTTTTATACATTAAAACATATCAATAAATTTAAATAAATAAATAAATTATACGTTAAAAGCAACTCACAAATTAATAAAATGTCATAATGATGAAGAAAAGAAGAAGAAAAACAAAACACAACACACGCAAACACAAAGTTTAAACGACACACAATTTGTTTAAAAAAATTATCAACATAAAAAAATTTTAACGACGTAAAATGTTTTTCCCTCCCCCCGTAAGGTACCAAAATTTTTTTTAAAAAACTCACGACACCGCACACGATACCTATGGTTCAATCAACAACGACAACGACAAACAAAATCACAACAACAACAAAAAACAACAAAAAAAAAACTTTTTTTCCTTTTTTTGTTTTTTTTTTTGTTTTTATTATTATTATTATTAATTTGTATATATATAAAAATACCGTCTTGTGTGAAGGTGGCACAAAATGTAACTGAGGGGCTTAATAACGCGGGGCGCAGGCCCGGGTTTAACGGGGTGTCGCTACTGCATTTCATTTACTCTCTTTTTTTTTTTTTGAACCATCAATATTTAGAACAAACTCATACAAACCTTTTGAATAAAAAAATTATAAATTTTTTTTTTTTTAACGTGTTCATCATCATTATCATCATCATCATCACCGTTGGAAAAGTCAATGAAAATTAATATAAAAACGACAAACAATGAAACGAATCAAACCGAAAACGTACGAAAATAAACGAGTGCGTGGACATCAAGAAATTTTTACCGGTTCAAACCTGTCGACAAAAACACAAAAAAACACAAACGCACTTTAACAAATAACAATAATAATAATAATAATAATAATGAAAAGTGTCACAAGATGAATTATTATTGTTTACGAAAAATACCGAATCAATCCGGAAAAATCCGGGGGAAAAAAACGTTAAATGTTTTTTTCTTTTTTTATTATTATTATTATTTTAATGGTCAAATCAAATTTATTTAAGAGAAAATAAAACAAACAAAAACAATAACAACAACAACAACAATAAAATATAATTATAAAGTTGAAGATTTGTTAGGTAAGTTATTCTCAAAGGAATACAAATAAGATTAATTTTATTTAGAGTTGACAAAGGAAAATTTTACAGACGACATACGGGTCATCTCCTTTGAATGAGGGCACCATTCAATTTCAAAAAAAAGAAAAAAAATTTTTTTTTCCTCAACAAACAAAAGAATAATAATAATAAT